CCTGAGGCGGGAGCTGAAGCTGCTCGAGTCCATCTTCCACCGCGGCCACGAGCGCTTCCGCATTGCCAGCGCCTGCCTGGACGAGCTGAGCTGCGAGTTCCTGCTGGCTGGGGCCGGAGGGGCCGGGGCGGGGGCCGCGCCCGGACCGCATCTGCCCCCACGGGGGTCGGTGCCCGGGGATCCCGTCCGTATACACTGCAACATCACGGTGAGGATCCCCCTTGCGTGCGCCTCTTTGGGGGCCCCTTGTCAGGGATCACCCCGTATACCTTTTTGCTCTCGAAGGACCCGAGAGGCCAAAGCCCGTCTTAGGGCTCGGCTCCTTCCCACAGGTTACACTTGTCTCTGCTGCTTGCGGTTCTGTCGTGCACCCAGAATCTCTGCCATTGACCCTTGATAGCGAGAGACACCCCGACATATGGCGCCTCGACTACCCCTTTCCACCAGCCCACCCACCCACATCCCAAGGTTCACGATTTTGGCTGCTACTCCACGACTTTACCTTGCCACCTACGAATGCCCCTTTCTCCTGCCACTCACATCTCAAGGTTCCAGGTCTCTGCACTTACCCGCCCAGCTGGACGGACCTGGCCTGGTACACATTTCAGTGATGCCACCTTCTCAGAAGTTCCTTTGACTTCGGATGTTACCACCTGTGGGATCCCTGCCCAGGCAGCCCGCAGGCAGCCCCACTGTGGTCTCTGAATTTTACCAAGTGGTAGTTGGCAGTTCGTTGACTCTTCTTTCCCTTCTTTAGCCTTTCTGTTTTTCCCTTGGTGTAACCTCTCTCCTCTTCCTGCCCCAGCTGGTAGCAGATCTGCCAATCCCCTCCTGGTCCTCGTGGACATCTTCAGTTGCCCTAGCTTGTTGCCTTTCCCGGTAATGATGGTGATGAGCGAGGGCACCCCGTGTATCGGGGGCAGTAGCAGTTCCATTTCTCCCCAGTGAGCATCTGTGCGAGCTAGATACCTTACATGTCTCCCACCTAGTCTCTCCTCCCACAGCCCTTGGAGAAGGCTGGTCTCTGGAAATGAGGGACTGTCTGGTACTGCATGGCACAGCACCTATATTGGTTGATACTGCTTGCTGGGATGGTGTTCTCCCTGCCGGGAGCAGTAGCTAAGGAGCCGGGGCAGTGCTTTATCCCAGCAGGCAGAGTGCTAGTGGGAGTAGTCCAGGGAGAGATGGATTTGTGAGTTCTCTGGTATTTGGGGGCCTGAATCCAGGATACATGGTTCTTGTTTTCTGTCCCTTTCCTCAGTCAGACTTGGACATGCCAGGTCATGCGACAAGCCTCAGCTTGGGTTGGATAGTGCCCCAGGAGGACTCTTGTCCTGTTCCCTGTCCCACCCCTTTTTTTAACCAGAGAATTAAATTGAGAGGCTAGGGGGGGCTTAGTCGGGTGAAGACTGAGCATTTTTTATTTTTCCCACAGCACTGAGGCTTAGAGGCACAGCAGCGCTACGATCCCCGGTAGAAGTGGGTAGTTTCCTTAGCATGCGTGGAAACCCCAAGAGTTCATTTGGTTCCTGAATTAAGTTTCCAATCCCATAAGGGCGGGATTATCCCCATCTAGCTCCCCTTTCAGTGGACGGAGGCCATTTGTCTCTCCCTGGCAGGAAGTCCGTTTATAGAGAGGGTCCTCAGTCAGACTTCCTTCCTCTGGCCCCTCTAAGTGAGACTTGGCCTGAACTGGCCCCTTTGGTTTGGGTAGTGGGGGAATCTGGTCAGGCTGTATTTGGCACCGTGGCTCAGGAATGCTGGGAATGTCAACAGCGTAGGCCTCTTTCTCCCAGCCTGCCATGTGGAGCCTGACAGCCCACGCTTGGACTGAGAGGGTGGCAGGTTTCCAAGGAGGAGGTGGGGGATTTGGTCTTTGAGGGGCTCTGCTGGGGATGGAGTGGGGAGATTCCTCCTGATACCCCTTCACTCTCAGCTTCTGGAGATACGATCTAGTTCGCATCCCTTCTTCCCCAACTAGTTAAAGTGAGCTGCAGTCTTTGCGCTTTTTTGGCATCAGTGTGATTGGGATGAGATGATCTCTTCCTGAGCTGGTTATGGGGTGTGAGAAGCAGAAGGGTTGGAAGACGTTTCGATGTGGAGAGAACCTTAAGTCTGGAACTTGTGTAGGCTGCACAGCAGATCAGGAGGCTTCCTTCTCTATTAGCAGAGTTTGGCTGTGCCGCTCTTCCTGGTTTACTCTTAAGGAAGGCAGGAAAGGGCCCTCCCAGGGACGTTTCTCTTAGCCTAGGATTTGTTGGGGAGTTGCCCGGTTCGATACTGACCTGCTGAGCTGGACCTTTATGTGTGTGTGTTCGTGGGAAGGGCAGGTGGGCAGGCAAAATCTGGCTTTTCCCAGAGTCTCCCGTTTTGACTGCTCTCCCTGCTCCTCTCCCTCAGGAGTCGTACCCTGCTGTGCCCCCTATCTGGTCGGTGGAGTCTGATGACCCTAATTTGGCCGCCGTCTTGGAGAGGCTGGTGGACATAAAGAAAGGGAATACTCTGGTGAGGGGCCGGGGCATTTGCGGGGGGTGGGGGAGACGTTGATCCCTATGAGACCCATGTCATGAAGACATCCTGTGAAAGGGAGATACGTCTGGAAGGTAGATGGTGTAGTGGGCTGGACATTGGGGGGGCAGTCTCCTCGGGAGTTGCTTGCTGGCAGCAAAGGGAGATCCTGCACCAGCCCCAGGATTGGTTCTCCGGTAGACTCATTCCCACAGCCACATGGTCCGTAAGGTTTGGGGCTTGAGCTCTTAGCTCATCCGTGTACCTGTTCAGATTGAAGAGGGGAAGGAGGGTTTGATGTCACTGTGTCCCCTGCCCCAGCTGTTGCAGCATCTGAAGAGGATCATCTCCGACCTGTGTAAACTCTATAACCTCCCTCAGCATCCAGATGTGGAGATGCTGGATCAGCCCTTGCCAGCAGAGCAGGTGAGCGCCTGCACATCTGGGCCTCAGTATAAACACTCGTTAATGGCGAAGACTCTGCAGTAGTTCCTGTCCACCCCTGGCCCCCGCCCCACTCCAGACACAGACACATCCTGACACTCAGCCTGTGTCTCCTCCGGAGGGGAATCTGGCTAAGTGGGGCGCTAGCAGCTTCATCTCCCCTAGCAGAACTCACTCTCGGGGGCGGCATCTCCTGCCGGCGGTGGGGTGGGAGTTGGTACCATGATCTTAGCAGTAGCGGCTGGCGGCCGTTGGGGACCCAGGCCCCTCGTTTAGAACCAAAAATGAATTTCAGCCTAGAGAAACTCAAGTAGAGGAGGGGTTTGGGGAAAATTAAAGTGGGATTTGTGAGGGAAATGACAGAAGCTGCCATTTTCCTTCCCTTGGATTCTTTGGCATATGGTAGGAGAACAGTGGGCTGGCAACGGTCACTCGCTGGGCTGTTGCTGCCACTCTGGCTGGTGGAGAGGCTGGCAGCATTATGGGCAGGCCCAGTGTCCAGACCTGGAGCTCGGGAGGAGGGCAGGGGCTGCATTCGCGGAAACCACCGGTGCTCTGAACTCCATCTTCCCCTCCCACTGCAGTGCACACAGGAAGACGTGTCTTCAGAAGATGAAGATGAGGAGATGCCTGAGGTAGGCTTGCCCCCTGATGGGGCAGAAGCGCTAGCGTTGGCGGGAAGTTCTTTCCGTAAGCAGCGCGGATCACCCACTGTATACAGAGCTCCAGACTATAACTGGGGAGAGAAAAGTCCCAAAGGCATAAAGATGTGCTTACTGACCTGGAGGAACAGCCAGTGTAGACGAGGACACAGACATCTACATCCAGCCACTGAAGACAGCACAAAGTATCAGCAAGTGCACATCTGTTCAAACCAAGTAGCTGATGGGTCACAAAGACTTGAGTCTGTGTCCTGGATCTCCTGGTTTTGTTAATTGGGGGTTGTGCCTGATCTCACTGAGATGTAATTGTCTTATCTCTAAAATGGGATCATAGTATCTCTTGCCTCCAGGTTGTCCTGAAGATTAGGTGAGGCGTTGCCCGTAAAATGCTTTGTGTAGTACAGGATAAGTGCTAAATAATGTATCTGATACATTCTTTATAGACATTAATAATTTCGGAGACTATAATTTAATGGTTAAGAGTTTGAGTTTCAGAGCCAGACAGAACCTGATTCAAGTCTTAGTTCTGCTAAGAGTATAGTATGATTTTGGGCATGATAATTAACCTCAGTGCACCTCGGCTTTTTCATCTGTAAAATGGGGATAACGGTGGGATAATGATGGGGTGGTTGTAAGAGTTAATGAGCCTAGTGTGTATAGCACCTGCCATGGTCCCTGACGTGTCGTAAACATTCGGTAACGTTCGGACTGATGTAACAGGAGATGAGCGTTATTCCTCTTGCCAGAGTGAGGAGACCACTTTGTTTCTTAGCATTGGATTCTGTCTCAGGAGCTGCAGCTTCTGTAACTTTGTGAGGGTCTCAGGGCCACACAGGGCTGGTGATACATGAAACTCATTCCTCCAAGGCGGTGGCCAGCCCTCTGTGCCCTCCCCCCAATATCCCGGGACATGGGTTTCTCCTCCCCTCTCTGCGCCGCACACACCGTGAGCTGGTGGCCCACGCGGAGCCAGGTGCGTCAGGGCTCAATCTTGACCTCCGCCCCCTCCCTTCCTGGAGCTCCTTTCTCACTTCCATCTTGGCAGTGGTGTGTCTGCCTGCCTGATCCAGGCCCTGGACTTGGAGGCGGGGAGGAGATTTGTGATGAGGTTTCTCCTTCAGCCCTGAGGCCCTGCGGACTCAGTCCAGTAGTTACCTAGTGAAACATGAGCTCCGAGTCAGCGTCAGGCCAGAGTCATGCTGCTGGGAGTTAGGGGAGGGTTTCTGCTGCCAAGGAGGAGTTCTAGGATGGTTGGAGCAGGTCATCCTGGGGAACAAGAGGACTAAGTCCCTGTCTCCTTTCCCTAGGTCCTTACTGTAGTTCTTGAGAATGGAATAAGAGAAGAAATTTGCCCCGTTCTTGCAGATTGTAGAGCAGGGCTGCGAGTTATCCTGGAAGCGCCAAAGGGTGTTGTGTTCACGGCTGCTAGAGGGACTGCTGCCCTCTTACCTGGCGGCTCCCAGCCACGTGGGCCTGGGAAGGTGACGGCCCTGTCCCCAACCTGCGGTTTCTTTGCTCCTCTCTCCCACTCCCACCCCACACCTCCTCCAGGACACAGAAGACCTAGACCACTATGAAATGAAAGAGGAAGAGCCAGCCGAGGGCAGGAAGTCTGAAGATGACGGCATCGGGAAGGAAAACTTGGCCATACTAGAGAAGATTAAGAAGAACCAGAGACAAGATTACTTAAACGTACGCGCCTTCCAGAGAGAGGCCGGCCAGAGCGGTTGGTGGGCGCCAGCTGGGAGGTGGTAGGCCATTGCATGTCAGTATGGGGAGCAGACACGGATTACGGGCGTGCCTCATCCTTCCCGAAGTCCGTGTGTCCCAGCCCACGTGGCCATGGGATGTTCCTGCCGTCCCTCCCTTGCAGGGTGCAGTGTCTGGCTCGGTGCAGGCCACTGACCGGCTGATGAAGGAGCTCAGGGATATATACCGATCACAGAGTTTCAAAGGCGGTGAGTTCATCTCGGGGGCTGGCACAGGGGCTTCTCGGAAGGAGGATATGACGGTGGACAGGGACCCTAGGAGCTTCTGGGATCCGTGGGTGCTTGGGAAGTTTTCAGGCTAAGAACGGAGCTTCTGACGTCGGTGGCTTGCCCATCTGGGGTGAACCTGGTGCTGCTGGTCTGGGCCCCTCAGCCTGGGAAGGGGATCTGCATTCGGGTTGTTTACCGCCTGGACCATCCCAGCGACCCTGTCTTCTTCCCTCCCGCCAGGAAACTATGCAGTGGACCTGGTGAATGACAGTCTGTACGATTGGAATGTCAAACTCCTCAAGTGAGTGGGGACTCTGGGACTGGAAAGGAAGCTGAGCAGTGGGAGCCTCAAGGGCAGTCCCCTCCAGCCTGTGGGCTGCAGGGTGTCCCGGGAGTGGGTGTGGGCAGTGGTTTGTCTGCCTACTGCCAGCCTGCAGCACGAGGGGCTGTCGTGAGTCCCCCGGGCTGGGAACAGGAGCCTGAGCCCAGACTGCTTGCTTCATAGAGTTGACCAGGACAGCGCTTTGCACAACGATCTCCAGATCCTCAAAGAGAAAGAAGGCGCTGACTTCATCCTACTTAACTTTTCCTTTAAAGTAAGATACTTCCTTTGCAGTCCCTCCCGCCCTGGCCTGGTCTTCCCTCTGCCTTCATGTCCTGGGGCGGCGCTGGCCTTCCCTCCTGATGATTGTCTCTGTCTCTCTCAGGATAACTTTCCCTTTGACCCGCCATTTGTCAGGGTTGTGTCTCCAGTCCTCTCCGGAGGGTGAGTGCTCGGGCAAGGGGGGAGGGTAGCTCCTGCTGCCGAGGGTGACGAAGGAACTTGGAACTTTTGCAGGTACAGCTGACTAACCTTTCTCTGCAGGTATGTCCTGGGTGGAGGTGCCATCTGCATGGAACTTCTCACCAAACAGGTGAGCCTGTTTCTGGCTCTGGGCTGGGCAGGGCCCGGCTCGAGCTTTACCACATCCACACCCCCGTGGGCTGGGTGAGGGGCGTTAACGCGGCCCTTTGGTTCTGCCGGGCAGGGCCTGCCCCCACTGACCTGGGCGCACGTGATGGCTGTGCTGGGGGTAAAGGGCAGGGGTTCTTGTAGAGAAGCACTGGCCTGGAGAACAGTCCTGACGGGTTTGCTGTGTCGCCGTTACCAGGGCTGGAGCAGTGCCTACTCGATAGAGTCCGTGATCATGCAGATCAGCGCCACGCTGGTGAAGGGGAAGGCGCGGGTGCAGTTTGGAGCCAACAAAGTAAGGCGCTCGCACCCGCCTGCCGGGGCTGGCTGATTACAGGCTGTTTCAGGCCCAGGCTGACCTCTGAGGGCCTGAGAGGATGAGGCCCCCTGGGCGGGTGGCACTGGATCAGAGGGGCAGCCTGAGGCTCGGGAAGGGCCTGGGTCTGGAAGGGTGAAGCCTGCGGGACTGTGCCCCAAAGGGACCCCCCAGGTGGGGGCACTAGTCTGCCCACAGAGCACAGCGTTGGCAGCCAGGACTCCCGGGTCTCCGGGTGGCAGCGTCTGGAGTGTGAGTGCAACTGCCATGGCCTGACTGCTGGTTCCCTCTCCCCAGTCTCAGTACAGTCTGACCAGAGCACAGCAGTCCTACAAGTCCTTGGTGCAGATCCACGAAAAAAACGGTGAGGCTGGAGCCTGCGCTCAGGGATTCGGACACTTGCCAGCCCAGGGGTCTTCCACTTCCCGCCAGATAGCAGGAGCCCTTCCTTTGGTTTCTGGGCTTTACCACCTGCGTCAAATCACAGCGCCCACCCTGGTCTCCAAAGGGCTGGAGGCGGCTAGCGTCCACAGCCTCTCCTCCCAGAAAAGCCCCCGTGACCATGTCCCTGTAGACTTGGTGCTACCCCTCCTCCCTGCCACCCTCTGAAAAGACTCATCCAAGTCTTCGTCAGCCCAGGTGGGGCACACCCTTCTCCCTTCCTTGATGCGCTCCAGGTAGGTGGTTTCTCGGCTTCCCGGGCACCAGCTCTCCCCCGCATCGTACGGCCCTCCCAGGGTCTTTTCATCCCAGACACTGGAGGCATCTTCGGTGATGAGCGGTCGGGGGTGGACTTCAGTCCCCGCCTCCCTGACGGGGCTGTGTTCTGTGTGTCTGCAGGCTGGTACACACCCCCAAAGGAAGATGGCTAACCCCGGAGCGTCACCCCATCCTCCTTCCCAGGCGCCACTGGACCAATTACCTTTTGAATGCTGTATTTGGATCTCACGCTGCCTCTGTGGTTCCCTCCCTCGGTTTTCCTGGACGTGATAGCTCTGCCTGTTGCAGGACAGTGACGGCTATTCTAAACGCTAAGGAAAAAACCCACACACAACTGTCTCAAGTACTCCAGACTGACTGACAGACCAGCCAACCACCTTGCTGGAACCCTTGCTAGCAGGCATTCTTATACGAGAAACTTCGAGCCTCCTTCTCTTGCTGGAACTCAGCTGTGCTCCAGACCAGAGCCTCCTCACCTATGCTATGGATTTTTAATTTATTTTCTCTTATTTCATGTACACTGCTTTTTTTGGTTACAGTGTATGATGGATGTGTATGAAAAAATGTATCTTTGGGAAAACAATTACAGTTTGTTAATTTGAAGATGCTGGTCTTGACTCATCTTTATTTTTATTCCCATATCCCACCCCACACCCATCCCCTGAACTCCTTGGGAGGTGGGGGAGGGTGCCAAGCCCACTGTGGGTTTGCAGATGACAGAGGCTGCACTTTGCTGCTAAAGCAAGAGAACGGGGGAGCTGCAGCACACGCTTCGGTCACCCCCTGGTCTAGATTTCTCCTGTAGGCCTCTGGAGCAAGCCGCACCTGTTCCCCTTGGAAGGCAGCACCTGGCCTGCTGAACTACTGAGCTGTGGGCCGAGACGTGATCTGAATTCCTGGGACGCTTTTTCTAGTTGCTGAGATGTTTTCAAATCTCTAGGAAAAAGAATAAGGAGGCTTAAGAGGCTGCTTCACAGAATTGCTTTCAGATGAACCGCATGGGAGTGGGGGCGGCCTCCTACCTGTGTATGGGGACTCCTCTGATGGCCGCTGGGTGGCGGGGTCTCCGTCGCTTCTCCTCCGGCCCAGGCGGCGGCCTCTAGCTAGCACTGAGCATGACGGCTGGTGACCGGTGACTTCTGCTCACCTCCCTCCTTCGCTTCATTTCATCTTGTAAAAGAGGATATTGGCACAGGTGTGAAGGAAGGTGTTTGGTTTGGAGAACTGGATTCTCAAGCCCCTCCTACAACGTGGGTCCTCCCGGAAGGTGTTAGCTTCGGTGCGGGGAGGGGCTGTTCTGTACACCTGTGTCCTCACCCCGGGCTCTGGGGATGTGAGGGGGAAGTGAGGTGGGGCGTCGGCTCAGAACCGTCAGCGCTGTGTTGTATGTAGGTGCTGCTGTAAACGTGGGGGCCTGGCTTCAGCGGAGAGCAGGTGCCGCCTGCACCTCCTCGGCCGTAAGCTTGCCCTGGAGCTGAGGTGGCCTCTCCGGAGAGCCTGTGCGTCGAGACTGGATGATGAATGGAATGACAGAGGCCAGGGACGGCTAAATGAAGACCTGGACATGGAAACCCCAGACTGGGGCCGGCTGCCTGAGAGCCAGCAGGATGCAGGAGCTCTGCCATGCTTGGAGCACAGCCATTTTAACACTGGCCATTCCCCACCCCACCCCTCTTTTTTTTTGAGGGATGGGAACATCTTGCTTCTTCCAGTGGATGGAGGGTTCGCCGGTCCCCCTCAATGCTGCTCTACCCACCCCACCGGATTAGGGGTGCTAATGTGTGCTGAGGTTGGGATAAAGAGGGGAGACCAGGGGAGAATTCATTCCATGGAGCCAAGATCTGGTTTCCAAGGCCTCTGGCTTCCTTCTGAACTTATCACCAGCCCTGGCTGGAACATAGATTGTGTTTTTAATCACATGTACTGTGAGCTGTCCTCTGTATAATGTATTTTGTAATGTATTTTTCTCATCTACCAAAGGATGAAACAAAATTATTTAAATAGTTTGGCTCTAATAAAATTATTTAAAGAAATAATTGGGTTCTCATTCACTTGCCATGAAGGAGAATGCTAGCTCCTGTGAGCTGTGTAACACCACCGAGAGAAACCTCCATTTTTCTTGTCAAATATTCCCTTTCATGACCTTAAGTTTAAAGTTACAATAAAGTTGCAAAGCATAAAAAAGAATCAAGGCCGTATTGTTGCCATGAACCGATTTTCTTCTCTCCAGGAAGAGGGCAAGGAGAGATGAAACAGACTTGTTACCCTGCACCTCAGGGGTGCGTCTCTAGCCCAGGCGGGGTGGGCCTGGCCCGGAGCCCACAGAGGGGAGCTGAATGAGCAGACGAGGCACACAACAGTTTCTCAATCTCCCTGCAGCGGTTTTAGAGGGCAGGAGTGCGGACCAGGGGCCAAAAAGAAGCACCAATCGCCCCAAACTCATGAAATATACCAACGTTTATCTGCCAAGGGATGGCTCCCTGGTTAAATGCTCTCTACCTGATTCTACATGGAACACCTGGAAAACGAGGCAGTGGGCCCCTCTGTCTTCCAGAATCCATGAGGGTAGCTTAGATCATGCCCTGGGGTGCCAGGGAGGGACGCAGGGAGGAACACAGGGCTGCCTTAGGCTTCCAGCCTAATGGGAGCTCCCTGTGCTTGGTTCAAATGTCCCTGCTGAATTGGGGAAATGAAGACGTGATCAATTAAGACTTCACCCTCTTCTTGAGTGGTGAGCTAGGGGTGAAGACAAATGGGAATCAAATCCATCTGGGCACCAGTGCGGCCTTTTCCACCCCCGGGGCCTCAAGGGCTAAAGGGGTAGAAGAGGCTGAGGGAGGCTTGCTATGGCTCTGAGGCGGACAGGAGAGAGGACGAGCTGACTGCAGCCCTGTCATTTACACTCCTCAAATTCAGGGTATGCAACTAGAAGAGAGGATCCTGGTGGGAAGGGAGGCAAGCCCGCAGCCGGCGTGCCCACTGCCAGCCCACCCGCAGCCCAGATTACCTCATCCTCTGCTGTCTCGGGGAAGGGCAGGTAAAGCCCTGGTCCCCAGGCCTGGGCCGTGACCTCCAGCTGAGACTCCAGCATGGCAAGGGAGAGGGGCCAGCCGATTGAGACACGGAGGTGGTTACCTCCAAGTTCAAAGCACCAGTGATTTTCCCTGTCAGGATGCGACGGATAACCTGATACGAGCTCAAAATGTCTACAAAACAAGAGCGAACAACAAAATCTCCGTGGCACTTGATTGGGCAAGGGGGGGCCAGGGAGGGGAGAGGCCTGGGCTGCCCAGGGCTGCTCTGGCTGCCTTAGCGGTGACTTCTCGGTGCGAGGGTAACATGACCTAGTAAGTGTGGAAGAGGTGAGGGGAGGGCAAAGTAGAAGCCTACGAGAGGAGGTGGCCTTATTATTGTTGTTAAAATGATTACAGGGATGGGAGACCTTACATTCTCTAACAGGAAACTCTACTGGGGATGGGAAATTGAAGGAGCCTGCTCTGAGAGATGCAGAGGGCTTCACCGTGATGGGTGAGCAGTCTCACAGGCTGGAACCAGGGAGCTGCCCGGAAGTTCTCCCTGTGGCCGGCCACACCCCCCGACTCTGGGACTGTCTGTGTGCCCGAGAGGGCTCCTATGAAGAGTCAGCCCTGGAGTCAATCCCTGCTGGTGCCATTTCTTGCTCTGAAACACCAGGAAGCTCCTTTCACTTACAGAGTTACGTTCCTCCTCTGTAAAGGGAGGAACTTTTCTGTCTGTCTGATGTCTCTCTCGGGGCTGTCTCAAAGTCCAGGCGAGACGCGTGCACACTTGCAATGGGGCCACATCTGGCGGGGACACACTGACCTTTTCCAGCTGGCTAGGGGGCTGCTCTTCTCAGTGGCTGCCCAAAGATCAGGATCCCTAGCTACCCAGTTACTCCCTGTGACTCCTTGTGATCAGGGGCCCTCCTCACATGCAGTGACCCGAGCTGACCTCTGGGTGGTGCTCCCTGACCACTGGGCACAAAAGGACCAGAGAGCCCATCAGCATCCCGGGGGCCAGGGCCCAGTACTTTTTGGAGATACCTTTCCACATCACTTCATGAGTAGGAAGGTAGGCAGGTAAGTAGGAAGGTAGGTAGGTGGGAAGGTAGGTAGGTAGGAAGCTAAGTAGGTAGAAAGGTAGGTGGGAAGGTAGGTAGGTAGGAAGGTAGGAAGGTAGGTAGGTAGGTAGGAAGGTACGTAGTAGGTAGGAAGACAGGAAGGTAGGTAGGTAGGAAAGTAAGTAGGTAGGAAGGTAGGTAGGTAGGTAGGAAGGTAGGTAGGAAGGTCAGTAGGAGGGTCAACAGGTAGGAAGATAGGTAGGTAGGTAAGTAGGAAGGTAGGTAGGAAGATAGGTAGTACGTAGGTAGTAGCTAGGTAGGTAGGAAGGTAAGTAGGTAGGTAGGAAGGTAGGTAGGAAGGTCAGTAGGTAGGTAGGAAGATAGGTAGGTAGGAAAGTAGGTAGGAAGGTAGGTAGGTAGGTAGGTAGGAAGGTAGAGGAAGGTAGGTAGGTAGGAAGGTAGGTATGTAGATAGGTAGGTAGGTAGGTAGGAAGGTAGGAAAGTAAGTAAGTAGGTAGGTAGGCAGGTAGGTAGGAAGGTAGGAAGGTAGGTAGGTAGGAAGGTAGGTAGGAAGGTAGGTAGGTAGGAAGGTAGGTAGGTAGGAAGGAAGGTAGGTAGGAAGGTAGGTAGGTAGGTAGGAAGGTAGAGGAAGGTAGGTAGGTAAGAAGGTCGGTAGGTAGGTAGGAAGGTAGGTAGGTAGGAAGGTAGGTAGGTAGGAAG